AACATAAACATTTTGAAGTTGCCAATAAGTAAAATGGGGGGGGGGGGGGTCCATATTTCAGTTCATAGAAATTAACAACAACCGTCTTTCTTTTGTTTATAGTACATATGTTATGTTTATTAATGATTTGTTATAATAATACACATTAGTTCAAAGGTAATTCAAAAAAATCTCAATGTTTTGGTTATTGGTTAAAATAATGTAATTAGAAAAGTCACAATATTTTGACCAAATTAACAAAGAAAACACAAAATTTTCTGAAAAATGTTTTTTTTTCTTTGAAGTTGTATTTCTTTGGTTAAATCTATGAAACCACGTCAAAAAAAAAAAAAAAAAAAATCCAAATTTTTAGCTAATAATCTATCTTTTTATGTAAAAGTATATTTATAATTAAACTGTAAAGTGAAACTAAAGTATCTTGACTTCTAGATTTTCCAACCTTTCATGGTTGTGTTTTTGTAAGTGATATGTTGGATCAGTTTTGATTCCATTTTTATTTTGATTATGTTACTTACTTCCAGTGGTTAAGAATGATATGAAACTCTACAATTACTCATTTCATGTTTAAATGTCTTAGTTCTTGATCATATTATCTAAGTTATAATGACACTACATTTTGAGATAAAATATGTGGATGTGGATCTCACGCCTTATGTGTGGGAAAAAAAGATTCATTTATGATCATCGATTTCAAATTATCACAACTACTGTTACCTTCTAAAAAAAGAAAATTTGTTGGTTATATTTTTATTCAAATAACCAACAAATCATTTTTACATTTCCACTTAAGATTTTTATTTATCCATATAAAATATATATTTTACTAACTTATATCAATATACAGTATTTCTTATCTTAAATTAACCAACATTAGTCCACCAACGATGCACCTAAATTTGAATCTAAATTAGATTATTCATAAATATCTTTAAATGATTACTCAAATCGTCATATTTACCTTTTTTTAATTAAATAAAAACATTAATAGATTTGAATTTATAGAAAGTAGTGGGCCCCAAGAGCACCAACCGAAGACTCTGTGATGATTTGATTTTGTTTCCAAAATTCTCAACCAGTCCAGCATGCATATGGCAATGGCCCCACTCCAAAGATATGCTCTCATGGATGCGACCCCACAGTAACAAAAAGAAAGCCTGGCCCACACAACCAAAAAAAGTGAATAAAATGTTTCAGTAGAGTACAATCATTCGCGACCATCAATCCAAAAATCAAAACCAAAACAGGTGGCAGAATTATTATATTTTATTTTATATATAATAACATTTTTTTTTTGAAAATTTCATTTTTTTAATCCATACCTAATTATTGTTTAAAATCTATAATAGTTGTTGATTGAATAAATATGTTGACTAAATCTGATAAGTAAGACATCTTAGAAAAGCTATAACCGAATCAAATACATCAAACAGTCTGAATCTAACCGAATATCTGATTTTGAATCAGACTCAGTGTTTTTATAAATCGAATGCAAAACATATCTAACAAGCCATGAGTTAAAAAAACGACAGGGTTTGAATCGTGTGTGGTAAGCATGTGTGATTGCTTTTTTTGCACTTGAATTTTGGATTTACCTCAAAACGACTCCAACAAACATCATATCATAACCACTGCAATTATTTAGTCCCCCACACACTTCCCCAAAAGATCAAAAGTAGTCCTCCAACATTTTGATTATCCCAATAAACCCCCTTCAACTTTTGTCTTTTTCTTCTTTTTTTCACTGACTATTTCTTCTTAGCTTTATTCTCCTCCTCTCTTTCTTTCGCTTTCTCTTTACCCACTACAACTTTGCCTTTGTGTGTCTCGAAATTCGTGCTACCGGCGCACACTTAAACAAGCACAACGTACAACTTCGATAGCAGGATCGACGTCTACATATATACACATTTGCATATCATTCAACATATCATATCATACGCCATGAAAGTGGGCGACCTTCAATTCAGATTTTCACTGTAAATCTGATTTCTTCCGTCATCAATTCTATTGTCAAACCATACACCAAGAGAATGTGTGTCGTTTACTCGAAATTCTCACTGTAGATTAGTTTTCCGTCGGCGGAGTGATCAGTTCTCCGGTGATCGTTAAAATGGGCGATCTTCACTCAATTGCGTACTTTAGCAACCAACATAGCCATCGCACTCCCCTGAGTTGGGAAATCTACAATCATCAACTTCTCAACACAGACATTTCTCACTGTAATTTAACATTCCGATAATTATATGTATATGTGTCATGTGTGTGTGTTTGTGTGTGCATGGCGATAATAAGTCGTAGGTTATGGTGCAGGTATGGAGACGAAGGATACTCAACCATTCTATGATCAATCGCTGTTAAATTCCGATCTCTCATCGGGTTATTTAGAGGATGCGTTGTTTGAATTCAGCTCGAAACGACGCCGCTTGATGATGACACCTGATGATCACCATATAACCAGTTACCAGAATTCAACTCCTCCTTCATATCCGGTAATTCTTTGATACTTACTTTTTGAATTTCATAAATTATAAGAATTTATTCTTTTTTTTTTTTTTTTTTTTTTTTTTTTTTTTTTGTGGTGGGTATATATCCGTTAGATTTAATGTCTTGATTCAATTTTTCCACAGAGCTACTGGGATTTCAATTCCACTGATGAGTTTGACAATTTCAGTGGGCTTAATGGTACGAACACAACACTTATTTTTATTTTATTTTATTTGCATTGAATTATTATTATTATTTTTTTAATATGTATATAATTACAGTAAGCGGGAATAACTCAACTTCATCTTCACAAAGCAAGACTTCAATCAACAGCCAGTTTCTCTCTGAAAAGGA